CAAATTTATAAAATTTAATCCTTACTTTGGCTGCTTTATCCACTTATCTGTAGGCCAAAGTAAGGATTACATTTTATAAATTTGTGATTGTGGTTATAATTTTTTTAAATTACTTTTTTAAGCAGGACCCCTACTTCATTTTAATATTGATAATTTTTTAATACTCTGCTTTGTTTACTTGTACCTTTAGAAATTGTCGCGTGTCTATCCATCGATATGTAGCGCCATCTGTTGGTTTTAATTGGAGTTAAAAGGTATTTAAGTACGCGCATGATATGTTTATCATTTATAAAAAAATCTGTATATATTTTCTTATTTATCGGCATATCAAAAGCGGATACCCACAGAGCAGTGAAGTAAGCTGGATAAATCTTGTAGTTATAGTCCAAGCCGTCTAATGGCTAGCGTCATTGACGTGATCAGGTAGGTTGTAGACGAAAAAGTTGCTGTTTTACAAATTGTTGAATTGTTATACCGGAAATGTTAACGACCTTTCTAGCGTATTATTATACATATGCACATAATATATCGTAACCAATTCTCTGAATGGTCGGTTTTTTGCTTAGGAATTTGGTAGGGTGGTTTTTTTCATTGTATGAATGATTTGGAAACCTTGGCGATCCCTACTATTAAGTACTACCGTATTTAATAATATATTTGTGACTTGCAATGAATAACTGATTAGAAACATTCACTAGAGAATAAACTGTAATATTTTTTAGTATTCTGACAAGAGAGACTTGTTTACGTGATTTCGAAATGTGCTCTACAGCTTTCAGCCTCAAATCAAGATACGCATTTTTCTGATGAATAAATAAATAAATGTCCGGCTGCAAGGAGGCTATCTCTTTACAAATATAACTAGTTTACTAATGAAATCACTGGAAATGATATTACATTATTCTATACTTTCACTCACAAATTATCATAAGGATAGGAATATTGATTCCGTCAGTCCGAAACATTACCTCTACCCCTTCTCCGGTGGTTTAGATTGAGGGTTTATAGCAGCAAAACTTGGGACTCTCGATCCCTGCTGTGGTGAGCACAGAACAAGTAGCAAGCACATTGTGCAGCTTTTCGCTGCAACATCCAAAACTGAAACACTATTTATACGAATTTGTAGAGAAAGCTTAGAACAACAAAACTCTTTAATTTGTTTTAATTTATTGTATATAATTCTTTCCATGGCATAATAACATATTAATTACTTAAATGTTTAATACTTGAACTTTTATTTTATAAAAAAAAAAAAACTGACGAAAAACTCAAGTATTACAAGATTTAAAAACTAAATTCTCAAGCAAAGAAGTTTTAAATTTACTTCTTAAGTGCTAGAGACGGTTTAAATGGAATGGTAACTATGGGTATTTTAGAAAAACAACAACAAACAAACGTGTATAAGAAATCTCTACAACTTGGTAACTATGGGTATTTTAGAAAAACAACAACAAATAAACGTGTATAAGAAATCTCTACAACTTGGTAACTATGGGTATTTTAGAAAAAACAACAACAAATAAACGTGTATAAGAAATCTCTACAACTTGGTAACTATGGGTATTTTAGAAAAACAACAGCAAATAAACGTGTATAAGAAATCTCTACAACTTGGTAACTATGGGTATTTTAGAAAAACAACAACAAACAAACGTGTATAAGAAATCTCTACAACTTCAGAAAAATTAAGTAATTCCATTTTACTCCTTTGTTCCTCAGTTTCTGTACATTTAGAACCACGTGTGATGCTGCTTGTTTGTGGGCAAAGCTGAGCAATGAGTTACCTGTGCTGTGCCCGTCGCAGGGATCGATTCACGAATTTTTGCGCTATAAGCCCTCAATCTTATCGTTGAGCCGCCTGGTGTGCTGTTACATAGTTTATTTGGGTACTCCTGTACACCGAGAGTTGTATTTGATTATTATATCACTACGTAAAATAAAACCAGTTTTTTTACTTAGTGCACACGTTCTTGCTAGTTACAATTTTCGACAACATGCAAGATGGTAAAAAACTAGTTTCCCAGAGCAGTACAATTTGATTTGTTTCAGATTAACGTGGAAGTGTAAGGAACATAGTGACAAAAAACAAAAGAAAGAAGTTTTGGTGCTGCAAATTAAATGATAGTCGTATTTTAAGTGCAATTTTGAACCACGTTCTACTCTAAAAAAATATTAAATAAAAATAAGAATCAAGGATGTCGAGACATGTGCTGTAAGGTGGTGGTGGTGGGGAATCTGCTTTTTATTTTGCAATGAGGAGGGGGATCTGTTACGAAGGCCCATGATCTACTAATTACTATCATACATATTGTTTTCCGACTAGATAAATTATGCTTTTATTCTCGTTTAGCTTCAAATGGGGGTATGGGGGGAAGTAACCTCAAAAGAATATGGGCTAGTGTTGTAGATGTATAATGGCAACAGTTATTTGTATACAAATATATATAATTCTAGACAAAATGTGGTAAAATAAAAAAGGCAAATTTTCGTTTATTTGGATTTTCATAATTTTTTTTTTACGTTTTGTGTAAGAACACGCTATGGGAAGACATGTTAGAATATTTACCACGATCTTCATTTATTAGCACTCGCACGTTCATATACAGGGTGGGCCAAAAGTAGGGTTACAGTTACTCTATTATTTGTTTCTCCTTCACAATCACGTTTTAAATATACATGTAAATCATAGAAAATAATGCTGAAGCCTTATTTTGTACTACTTACTCACGTTTTAAAAACGTTATACATGTAAATAAATGTCTAAATTTCTAATAAAGGAAAAATGTTTAAGTGTTAACTGTAACCCTACTTTTGGCCCACCCTGTATATAAGTTGATTGAATTCAACAACTTTAGCTAAAAAAGATCAAATAATAAGATATCAATAAAGACAAATGTGTAGAAGAATGCATCATTGAACAAATGAATACAGGGTTCCGAAAGATGTGTTTAAACTCGACTGCTTCGAAAGCTTTACGTACCTTTCTGGATTTTCGATCCTACGACCTGAGACTACCAAATTGTTTTCTCTTGGTTTGGATACGTCGGCTTCGTCGTCAGAATGAACAGAAGAAATGACCACCCTTTGACCCCCAATGGTGAAGATATTGTCTTCTGTGTCCCCTGAACTAGCTCCACTTATACGAGCATGCACTTCCTTATCAACTTTACCAAGGCTCTCAGGAAAAGACGATTCTCTGTGATATCGATGATAGTTGTATGCACTAATTTTATTTGAACTTTCTAATTCACATTGTTTCAAAATGGCGGATCGGGTTAAACAAGGAATGTAGCTATTTTGCTTTTTGCTTATATCAGTGCCTTTAATTCTCTCATGAGACACCGAAGAATCGTTTTGGTCTTTATCTGAATTCCGATAACTATGAAAGGACTCACTTAACTGATAATGAACATCGGCCACTTTCTCACTTTGAGTGGATTGAAAGCAGGCATTGGTGAGCTTTTGGGAGTTATGTGTATGGAATCTTTGACCGTAACAAACTCCTATAGCGTTTCCTGTTGAGTAATTGGATTGATCAGAATCGCTCTTAGCAGTTTTCTCAAGTTCTTCATCGCTTTCTTCCACACACTGTAAGTGAGGATGATTGGAATTGTAGTTGCTTCTGGGACTGAATCTGGAGTGTTGGCTGTGCCTTAAAAGACCAGCATAATTTCCTACTCGGGAAGGGGGAGAACTTGGAGTTTCGTTTAAGTCTTGTGGACAACTTGGAGTAGTCCTTTTATCCATGCTACAAGTTAGTTCGGTCAGTTCACTTTTCTTTGTACCACTAAATAAAAACTTCAGTTATTCTACTCCATTTAGTGGTCAAATCTGAGGAAAAAAATTAAAATCCTTCTATATGAATATTATAATTACAATATTATAAGATATAAAACACAATTTATCATTACCAAACCAAATTTCTAGATAGCTTTAGATACATAGTAAATGGCAAAAATCAATTGAAATAAATCTGATGAAAATCGGACAAAATGGAAGCAGTGAAATTATCTTCAGGAAAGGGTAAGAAAAGTTAGGAACAAATACGTGAGTGAACAGTGAAATTATCTTCAGGAAAGGGTAAGAAAAGTTAGGAACAAATACGTGAGTGATGAAATACATTTTCCTTAAGAGTGTCTGCTGTCATGGTCTCTATTTTAGTCATTATTTTAGATGTCAAATATATCAGAGAATAAGAGAAACGGGAAAAAAGAAGTACCCACAAGTACTACAAGTAGTATCTGTACTCTGTCCACTACGGGGAATCGAACTCCGAATTTTATCGTTGTAAGTCCGTAAATTTATCGCTGACCCTCCGTTAGGATCCGGGAAACAAGGCATGACGTGATAACATGTTATGCAGGCGACTGGATCGCAAGTTCATCGTGTTATGTCAGCTATATAGGTGATCTAGTTAAATATTCGTTTACCTTGTCACATATCCATATATATTACTTATATGAGCTCAATACTTTCTCATGAGTACCACACAGTTCCCTGCAAGTCATATAGTATTGTCTACCACTTAAGTATAATTTTTAATCACATGCTCATGCATACCATTTATATGAACTGGTCACGTACTTATATCTACCAACTAAGTCACTTTCTCACGTCTATCTTTCAGGTGACCTGGTCATTTGCTCACGCTTGTCACTTATGTATCTTATTTAGTTGCTCACGTTTATCACTTAGGTGACCTTGTTATTTGCTGGTGTTTATTAGATCTAGTGACCTGGTCACTTGCTCACGTTTATCACTCAGGTGACCTTGGCACTTGCTCACGTCTCTCAATTAGATCAGGGATTCCAAAACTAAGAGTCAAGGTCTCCTGAGGAGCCAAAGCAAATACACAAAATACACAATACTGTTAAGTTTTATTTTGCTTGTTCTACTAGTTTTTAGATCACCTTCTCTTCATTGACCCGAAAGAAGCTGTGAGGTATCGTTTAGATAGTCCACAAAAAATATATTCAGTAAACGTGAAAACGGAAAACTGTCGCTCCCCCAGTGGCACTGCGGTATATCTATGGACTTACATATAGAAAAATATAGAAAAATCAGTGAGTTCACGAACTTTCTTTGATCAAAAGACTTTTAACACTTCTCAACTGAAGTTCATGTATATAGAAAAATATAGAAAAATCAGTGAGTTCACGAACTTTCTTTGATCAAAAGACTTTTAACACTTCTCAACTGAAGTTCATGTATATAGAAAAATATAGAAAAATCAGTGAGTTCACGAACTTTCTTTGATCAAAAGACTTTTAACACTTCTCAACTGAAGTTCATGTATGTAGAAAAATATAGAAAAATCAGTGAGTTCACGAACTTTCTTTGATCAAAAGACTTTTAACACTTCTCAACTGAAGCTCACGTATTCTTGACATCGGTACATTTCTCAACTGGAGTTCATATAGTCTTAAGATCGAGTGCTGATTTTTAGCACTTCTTAACTGAAGCTCACGTATTCTTGACATCGGTACATTTCTCAACTGGAGTTCATATAGTCTTAAGATCGAGTGCTGATTTTTAGCATTTCTCAACTGAAGCTCACGTATTCTTGACATCGGTACATTTCTCAACTGGAGTTCATATAGTCTTAAGATCGAGTGCTGATTTTTAGCACTTCTCAACTGAAGCTCACGTATTCTTGAGATATGGTGCTGGTAATATATTGGCTGGAGATCAAACTTTGAATCAATCGACCACACTCAAAGTTTAATTATTAATTGAAACTAATAATTAAGAAATCCAAAGAAAATCTAACATTCTGTGTATAAATGTTTTTGAGATGAGTGGAAAGATAAAGGTTAAAAAAAAATGTATCTGTCAAAAATGGAGAATATTTTCATCAGCCGACGACTACATACATACATACTAATCAAACAACATTTATACATGGTTAGTCAGTTTTCATTGTTGAATATACAATGTTGATAAAAACGTCCATATCTTTTCAACTGACTTTAAAGAAAGAAAAATAGAGTAGATCAAAACATCGGTCTCCCGGTAGGTCAACGGTAAGTTTACGAACTTACACCGCTAAAATCCAAGGTTCGATTCCCCGCGGTAGACACAGCAGATAGTCCAATGTGGCTTTGTTCTAGAACAAAGAAAAGCCTCGACATTGTGAGTTAAATCTTTCAAGAACTTTATGTTTCATCCATTAATAAGTTTAAATAACTTGTCGTGATTCTCAGCGTTAGTTAAATATAGTGTTAACACTTTCAAGGTAATATTCACGTTTTCGTCAGCTGAATCTTAACAATACAATAATACCTATTACTGAAGAAGCACCTTTCCTAAATGCTGTTAACTTCAGACGCAGTAAAACTATGTAAACTGGTAATTTAAAGTGTAGAGGCCAAGTTATATGGATTTGTTTCATTTTTGTTCGAAAGAGTAGAGTATATAGTTCTGGAAAAAAATGTAGTCAAGACATTTAAAATATTAACTGACGCTGGAAGAATTTAGTATAGTTTCCTTTTGAAGAATTCCAAATATAAAACACATATGTGCTGTTAATCTAAACTTTTTTCGCCGCAGCGCCCCCTTCAGCAAACAATGAGCGCTCATGACCACTTCTAATATATTTTTAGACCATTAAAATATTTTACTAAAATGAAGATTGTAAGGCAATAATAGTGAATTCTTATGGTTTAATTCTAATAAATATAACTTTGAAACCCTCAAAACTTTTCTGTACGCCCACTAGGGGACGATACCGCCTAGGTTGGGAAACACTGAATTCTAAATGATAGTATAGACTATTTGTTTAGTCAAATAACCAACGAAGCTACATTTACCTTTCCATATCACGAAATGCAATGAATTAGTGAAGAAATTAAGTATTTATTGCACCTGAATTTTTACTTAAAAGAAAGCTGAATCCTTAGATTTTGATTATCTCATTTATCTTCTTTCCAAACCAGTCTGGTTTATCATTATTTGTATGTTTAAAATGGAACGAATAGCTATGTTCAGTTCTCCATTATTCCAGTTTCTTAACTTCAAACTTCGTCATTGATTGCAACACAGTGTGTAAGGCCAAAGAGTCGACCAAATATTTCGATCATTTCAAAGTATCTTTCTTCTACATAACCTAAATACATAGGGCACTAATCATCATTTAATGGAAATTTTAGAATTAAATTGTTATTTTTCCATTTGGTTCTAAATGTAAGTCGTAAAAGAATAAAACGTTTCACAATTGAACCTATATAATAAAAGAATCAATAATGAAATAAGAAAAACAGCACGCAAGCAGACACCATGTAATTATACTGATATTGTGGTAAACAAGTGTTCAATAGCTATACAGTGGTAACCAGATGTCATCTAGCACTGTTGTGGAAAGTAGATATCACACAAGATGGCGATGACAACCAGATATCAGTTTAAAATACTGGCGGTAACCAGATGTCATCTAGCACTGTTGTGGAAAGTAGATATCACACAAGATGGTGATGACAAACAGATATCAGTTTAAAATACTGGC